AGGAAGGAAGGAAGGAAGGAAGGAAGGAAGGAAAAGAGGGAGAAAGGAAGGAAGAAAGAAAGGGCAGGCAAGTATTGGCAAGAATGTGGAGAAACTAGATCCATTCCTGGGCATTGCTGGTGGGGATATAACATGGTGCAGCTGCCATGGAAAACTGCATGGCGGGTCCTCAAAAAGTGAAACACAGATTTTCATATGGCTCAGCAATTGTACTTTTGGCCATATACCAAGAAGAACTGAAAGCAGAGGCTCAGACAGACATTTGCACACCCATGTTCACAGCAGCATTAGTCATAAAAGCTAAAAGGTAGAAACAACCCAAGTGTCCATTGACAGACGAGTGAATAAACTAAATGTGGTCTATACATGCGTGGAGTATTCTTCAGCCATAAAAAGAAACTCAGTTCTGACACCTGCTGCAATGTGGATGAACCCTGATGATGCACTAAGAGAAATAAGCCAGTTACCAAAGAACAAATATTGTATGATTCCACTTATATGAGGTACCTAAGAGTGGTCAAATTCACAGACAGAAAGTGGAATGGTGGGTGCCAGGGTCTGGGGAGAGGGAAGAAGGGGCAGTGAGTGTTTAAATGGGAAGAGAGTTTCAGTTGTGCAAGATGAAAAAGTTCTGGAAATGATGGTGGTGACGGCTGCACAACTTGAGTGCACTTAATGCCACCAAATGTACACTTAAAAATGGTAAACTTTGTTATGTATATTTTACCACAATTAAAAAAAAAAGTTGGGCTCCCACTCTACTCATCCCCTCCCACCTCAAAAATTATTCAGGAAGGAAACTACTGACCAAGATGATTATCTGGCAAATTCTACCAATCTTATACACACCCTTCCCCTGCCCAAAATAGGAAAAGAACATTGTCCAACTCACAACATGGCTTTCTGAAACCTTGAATGTCTGTTATGATTTTGTACCATCAGATCTCGACTAGCTAACATTCTCAGTTGACACACTGTAAACAAATTAAGAGGAGCTGCTGGGAAGCTGCCATCTTCCTGAATTACAGCTTGTTTATTAGTAAAGGAGTGGGGGTTATCAGTAACGTGTAGAGCATTAAAAAAAAGAAAATCATAGGCCAACTTCACAAATACAGTTGCAAACTGTTTTTTTAAAAAAGCAAAACAATACCAGCAATATATATTAATACAACCAATATAATTTGACCAAGGTAATTTTATCCCAAAAATGGGCGGTTGATTTAACACTTGAAAAATCAATAATCCACACAGAAATAGAAAAAAAGAAGAAAAACTGTATAATCCTCAAGAAATGCAGAGAAAGTATTTGATGACATTTAGTATCCATTCACAATTAAAACCTCATCACAAAGCAGAAATAGAAGGGAAACATCCTTAATATTTGAAAGTATCTACAGAGAAAACCCTACAACGAATCACATTATGTGTGAAATTTGGAAAGCTTTTCCCCTGCTCCTAGGGACAAGACAAAGAAACCAGTTGTCAACATTTCTAGAGGCCACATAAAGGAAGTTGACACAAGCAGAGCGCCACTTGATTCACACAAGGGTGGTGCTCCACAGGAGTGACCAAGGACAGTTCCTTCACCCAAAGGTGCTGGCACAATGATGCTCTGGACAAAATGCCTGTGGGAAAAATGACATGTGACCTCTTGGCACAGAGGCAGAACAATGAGAAGTGTCCCACTCTGTGGAGATATAAATCAGCATAACCCAGGCTGTGGAGACTGGCACACCTAATGAAACCAAGAAACAGACATAAAAATGTCTAAACAGGGAGTTCTTCAGCGGCATGTGCCTATCAGATCAAGTGATCAAGAGATGGGGAGGGGGATCCTTCCAGGAGACGAGAGGAGGTGCTGGGGAGGGTTCTGCCAGCGTACATTCCCTAACCTAGACAGATGTCAAACAGTTTTCTCTGTGATGAATCAGAGCTGCTCCCTGTACCTTCATGTACATGTTATATTTCACAATAAAAACAGGTTTTAAAATGAGGAAGTTTGAACTGCTGATAAAATTAAATGCCCTCAACCATATTTAGCATTGAAACAAAAATAAATAACCATTTAAGTTTACAAAAGTAGGTGAATGGTGCTATAAATACTAGCTAGAGTAAGAAAATGAAAACCGATGCTCAGTATCCTAAGGTGTTTTTCCTCAGAACAATTGTTGCTCCTGTGTTAGAAAGACGACAGGCTAGACAGTAGAAGAAACAGCCTGCCTTGCTTGAGCTTTCCTATAAAATGGAAGTTGAACCACAACTTTAACTAATTCAATGAGTCCAGGAAGTCAAAACCATACGGAGTACAATTACTTAGACTCAAAACCATCAAAGCTCACAACTCCGAGAGGACAAGTGTCATCGCAATTCAGTAAGCACTACAGACAGTACCTCGAGGGAAGAGCTAGGCTGCCTGGGGGAGCTGCACACTCGTTAACATCCGGTGATGCTGAAAGGTTTAGAAAGTCACCCCGTTATCAATGTCTGCCTCCAAAGCTGGACCACATCTAACCACCTCAATAGTACCTCCTGGAGGCACTCAAAAAGGGGTTTCCCGGAACTTTCTAAAATAATCCCTTTCAGGATGTAACAACCATTACTAACAGAAAAATCTTCCTAAAACCCAAATCTCTTCTGATTTGCATTATCTTCATTTCCCACTTACACCAACATCAGTGCCAATGGCAGGTAAAGTGGTCTTCCTTAGTCAAGGGTTCTTGCAAATGCAACGGCAGGAACAGTTAGACAAGCACCGACTTCCCTCAGTCAAAGCCCTTTAAATTAAGACGTCGTACCCATTATGCCGGGCCAGGCTAGCTCTTCGTGGTCGTCACGTTCCTTTCCTGGTGCCAGGTGGTTAAAGCGATCCAGATGTGCCAACAGGCCACCCAGCAGAGGGACAGCTCCAGCCTCCTGCATGAGACCAGCATTTTTACTGAGCAGAAGCACTATAGAAACTACTAGTTCTGGAAGAAGAACACCTACATTTAAAAAGAAAAAAAAAGTAATAAAGCATTAAGATTTTAATAAAACCATTTATCCTATAAAACCACTTTCTAAGCTTGCTCTATGTTTAAATTCTGAGAAGTCACAAAATAAAGAATATCTCTATTCTATAGGGCTATTTTATCTTTCATTTTGAAAGAGACAGATATAGGTATCAAACAGAATCCTTTGAGTTACAAGAATACTTTTCAAAAATACTGTTTCCACACAGAAGTATTAACTAGAGTCTATTACTCAGAAAACTAAGTGTTTACAACTAAGTTCACTACCAGGAGAAAGCATTCAGTAATAATGACCTAATGTCACCGACCTCACTTGAAACAGCACTAAGCCACGTTGGAATTGGTAAGGTCCTGAAAGGGCACTGACTTTCATGCTGCTGAGATAAACTAGACAATCACCGGGACCGCAATATGGAAATGCTAGTAATGGTGGCGCCTCTAAGTCACTAATTACATTGACAGTGACACAACTTCTGTGCCAGGCTGCTCAACAGCAGAATTTTTAGTAAGTAAAAAAACAGAAGGACAAGTGGAACAGGACTAGAAAATGTACAGGGTAGAGGCAAGCAGGTTTATTAGGAAATGATGGATTTTAACTCTCATCAATCTCTGAAAATGAACACATGTCCACAGGCAGGAAACAAGAAAGGTACCAGTGAAGTCCCCTTCCACGATGCAGGCAACCTCTGCAAAGTGCCGCCAGCTGGTGGAGGCGATGCTGGTGGCCACGGGCAGTGTGTCCCCGATATGCGTGCACAGAAGGGCCGTATACTTCTTCAGCAAAGAGCCGACCCCCATCAGCTCAGGGCCTGAAAGAGAGATGTAGAAAACCTCATCTTCGCTATGAAAACTTACTGTGTAAATGAACTGAATTGCTCCACTATTCCATTGGCATCTCTACATCTCTTACCTATAATAATTCCCTCAAATAGGAACTACTCCTCACCCCTTAATCCTTGGCTCTTTTTATCTCACATGATTTGAAAAACAGTGAATTTGGTTTTGTTGATTTTTACACATTATACTACACAGTACCTAGAAGCTCCGGGTGTATAAATACTAAAGTCACAACTCACAGAGTTTTAAAGCCTCATATTCAATACACAAAGTATTCAATACACAGATATTTTCTAAGGCCAAGTCTTGACGCTTATAAATTAATCCAAATGAACAAAGTTAGGCATCCTTCAATCTCATAAAATCTGCACCTTTTCTTCCTACACAGCTCTTAACAGCTTTTCAGTCCTTGTGACTTCATGTCTTTGAGACGGTCACCTCTTTCACACTTTAGGTTCAACTATTTCAACCTGAAATTTTCCATCATCTACAAGTGCCTAACTTTTTTTTTTTTTTAAGATTTTTATTGGGGAATTGGGGGGATGGGAACAGTGCTGGGGAATTGGGGGAAGGGGAACAGACAAGTTGCTGTTGTTTTGTTCTTCAGTCTAGTTGTGGAGGATGTTGCTTCACTGGTCCAAGTTGGCACCATCATTGCGCTCTTCCCAGGCGAGGCAGATCAGTCGCCGGCTTCTGGACGGCCGCTCACTGCGGCTGCTGGCCACTCACGCTGGCTGCTGGCTACATACGGTGGCCAATGGCAACCCACTGCCACCGGGACTGCAGCCCACGCCGTCGCCGGCGACTCACGGTAGCCCAGCTCCAGGTTGAGCTGTTGTTCAGCATCTTAGCTGTAGAGGGCAGTGTCACTGGCCCTCATATGTGGGATCCGAACCGGGGCCCTCTGGTGTCCCAAGCCAGTTCTTAACCATCGCGCCACTCGGTCGGCCCTACAAGTACCTAACTTTTCAGGAAGTAACTAAGTTATTTTAGCATGTACTAGCTAGAAAAAGCCTAACTAGCTAGAAAAAGACTAACGGAGGCAGCCAACCTTTCCACCCTTGACAGAAAGCTCCCTTCTGGAGAGCCAGCCACTAGCTGCGGAGCTGTGGAAAGTGCCCTAGCATCCATCATGCCCACAGCTGAGAACTGTGTAGTCCTATTTCAAGCCCCACAGGCACCCTCAGGTATTACCCCAATTCCACAGGTGAGCAATCTACAGCCCCCAAGAGGCCCAGTCCCCGTCCAGCAGCTAATAAAGCAGAGCCATCACTGAGCCCCAGCCTTGCCCCCGCTGCACCCACTGGCTTCCCAGTGTGACATACTAATAGGATGGCACTGCTTCATTCCCACACTGTGTCAGTCTCCAACAGTCCACAAGTAACATGTGGAAAAGTCTGACAAATCTATAAAGGATGCTATTCCTGATGTCTGAAGAATTGAAAGGTTAAGACAGTGAGTCTAATATAGAAATATTCATCCCAAACAACACATGGATGCAAAATGAAGCCCCCCGAATTTGATGCATTTATACAGTACAAGAACTGCCCACCTGGGCATGCAGAAAAGCATGTCTAAGAGCCTAACTAAAAAGCCCAGGACACATACCGGGCACGTGAACACTATAGGTAACTTACTACAGCTCTCTGAGGTTTGCCCCGGGCTTTCTCCTGGATAAAGTTTACTGATGAGCAGACGCTGAAAACGCAGCAGCAAATCCAGTGAGGCTGAGCTGTCTCGGCCATGTTGCTCTAAGTCCTGACGTGACGAAATCCGACGGGCAACGTCTTTCAACCTGGCTACCGTCTGAGAAGCAATGTTTCTATGCAGGGGACAGGGGATTGCAAAAGGAAACAAATTATGGCTGTTTAAAAAATAAAGGCAGTTAAAAAATCACGACATAAACTAAAGTCAGAGCTACAGATCATGACCAGCAGCTGGCTTCGTTCCCCAAATGTGTGTCACAAGTGAGCAGAGTAGAGAAGACGCCAAAGACAGAAGGACGCCTTCTGCTTTCCGAATGTGCTCCTGAGAGCTGCGTGGAAGGATTCAGTGACAGAAACCTTCTGTACACACCTCTGGACAGAGAACCATCTGTGTCATCACTCTGTGAATGGCTCTGAAACGCCAGGTGACATTTTTCGGTAGTCTTGTCTGACCCTGTGGCTCCTGTCAGGTTGGCCTTTGTTTATATTCTGGCTCTGACTGATTCTTACCTCCGGATACAACCTTCGAAAATAACACTCACCACTCATTTCCTTCAACTTTGAAATCAACAGCTGTTGTACACAAAGCCACACACCTAAATCTACAATATACAAAATGAGGCAATGATACAACCAGTTACTAAAAACTGACCTGGCCACAGTGACTCCGATTTGCGTCTGCCTGCTTAGTAATGAAGATAAGGGTCTCGTCCTAGGTTTACTGCACGATCAATCCAATTTTATCTTATGTGAAAACTTTCCGAATCCCCAGCTCTGCCTCATACAGCACTCCAAGCTTTCCTCTCATCTGTACTTAAGAGTCTGCTCTTGACCCTACCCTCTCCTGGGTAATTTTCAGAGCATCTCCTCAACAGCCAAACCCACCTTTGAGAAGCTATTGCTAATCTCACCATCTCCATGTGAAAACCAATCATCTATTACAATCACATATATCCACTATTACTTACCGAAGAAGCTGTTGTATAAGCTGCACCAGAGGCAAACACTGTTTTCCAGAAGATTCATAGATCCCCGTGTTGATGAGATCTTTATCCAGTGGAGTCCTACTTCTATGGAATGCCGAGGCATCTGCTTCCTGTTCATCAATCTCTTTTTCTTTCTGTGCTTCTTTTTTGGCTTCAATGTCCTGTAATTCATAAAACAGAAACTGGTCACCAGTTATCTTAACAGTAGGTCTGAAGGCACCCGGGCTGAGCCCTGCTCCCATAGCCTCACTGTCCCCACCTCTAGGCACCACTCATACACCGGGTGACAAGGGTCCACATTACCTGTTGGAAACCCCGTCACTCAGCAGCTCAGTTTCTAATAGACTACTCGTCCTACAAATTCGATGTCCTGGCTGTCACTGCTGATGGTCTCTAGTCCCTTCTGTGAAGTCCCTAAGATCTCAGCACCCCAGCCAATGTGATCTGCTCCCCTCTTCCCCCTCCCCCCACCACATACACAATCTGTCTGCTTTGCAGACATGAGCAGCAAGATGGAAGAATATATTCCAAAGTCTGATAAGGGACATGCGTCCAGAACACAGAAAAAATCCTTATAACTCAACAGTTACAGTTCAACTTGACCCAATCTAAAAACAGGCAAAGGATTGGAACAGATGTTATCTTTAATGAAGATGTACAAATGGCAAATCACACATGAAAAGATGCCCAACATCATTAGTCACCAAGGAAATTTACACCTGCCATGGTGGCGCTAATAAAGAGAGGGACGGTAGCAAGCACTGGCGAGGACCTGGAAACTGGGACCCTCACACACTGCTACAGGGCAAGCAAAATGGTGCAGCCACTTAAGAAACCAGTCTGGCCATTCTTCCAAATGTTAACAACGCCACTCCTAGGCATATACCCATAAGAAATAAAAACATATGTCCACACAAAAACCTACAGATGAATGCTCATAACAGCATTTCTCATAAGAACTTAAAAGTGGGAACAGCCCAAATGTCCACCAGCTGAAGGATGGATAAAGAAAATGTGCTCTATCCATACAATGGAATACTGTTTAGCAATTTTTAAAAATGAAGTACAACACAGATGCTAGGACCTGGATGAACTTTGAAACACTACGCTGGGTGAAGAAGCCAGACACAAAAGGCCACATATTGTTCAAAACCGTGTACATATCAACAGTCCCACCCAGTCCTAAGGAGTCTGCGGATGAAGACCCCAGCTCAGTGACGGGGCGGAACTGGGCCACCTCCTCGTAAGGATAGGAAGGCAACATGGAAAACTTAAAAAAGTGTGTGCTTTTCACCCAGCTATTTCATTTCTAGGAATTTTTCCTTATACTCTGTATCTTGTAATCTACAAGAATTAAAAATTATTTATAATAGTACAATCTAAAACCTAAATGGTCACCAATAGAAAGTTGTTCTTTAAAAAAAAAACAAAAAAACATTCCCTTTCCATATGACAGACTTCCCCAAAGCAACAGAGCAAATGAACTAGCACTAGAATCCTCAACATAGATAATGAGTGAAAAAGATGAAATTGATTGTCATTGAGACTAATTCTGGCAACATAATCTATATTGTTACTAAACGTCTGCACTTTCAAAAGTCGGGAAGACTATGCACCAAAAATATTAACAATGGTTATTCTTAAATAATGAGGTTTTTTTCTTTCTGTCTTTCTGTAGCGTCAAAACTTTTATTTCAAAATAAAGGGTCTTTTGGCTATTTTTGAGGCACCTTAATTACTATCCCAGAAATTAGTCTGCAGATCTAAGCAGCCCCCTTTCAAGGTCTCTCTCCAGCAGGAAGCACAGGATAAGCATCTGTTAATTAAATTAATAGGTTCTAAAAACACTGCTTGGTCACATCACAGTTACTGCCTGGCCCACATGCGGATGGCCTCTGCCTGTTCACTGTCACTGCTCCCATCAGGCCAGCGTCACACGGAGCCACATGGGGCACAGGAGAAAATGAAAGAGGTTTGGAGTCAGCAACCCTGCCACCCACTAGTCATGACCCCTCAGCAATCCACTAAACATCTGCAGTACTTATGTCCACATCTATAAAATGAATTTTAAAACACTTTTTCCACTGAACATGGTTGACAAGGTTAAATGAGAACATGAAAGTAAAGTACACAGCCCAGTCCCTGGAAAATAGCAGATACACAAACAACAGAGTTGTTACATCATCAATGTATGGTTTCTTCTAATTGTTCTCAATCTAATATTTAAGTATCTTTTCAAAGATACTTCATCTAATTTTATTAGTATATGTTTT